CAATTAATGTATCATTTAGTTACAAATATGTGATATATCTGAACAACAAAGTGGTAAAAAATCATTTTCTTCATTTATTGGAAACATTTTCATGATCGCTTTTTTCGTTTATACATTTTAAGAATGGCGTTTATCTTTTTTGAGAATGCGTTCTTATTTTTATTTAATGTATTTGGGTCTACAACAGATGATACAAATGTTTGTGTCAGTAAATGTGTACTAACAGAGGCGGGGGGTGTGTGGAAATAACGGGGACAGAGCTGCTGTCAGACGATCAGCTGTGCAGCGTCATCACAAACGGACATCGCTTCACGTGACGCTCCGGAGGAAAGGACGTCCCATTGCTCTTAAAACTCATTTCCCTGCTTCTCGTGGTTTCCTTGCGTCTCTCCATGCTTCCCTGGAGGGAGGGACTAGTCGCAGGGAAACGACGCAAGTGAGGGACGCAAGGAATCCATTTAACCGAAGTGAGAAGGGCCCCTGGAATGAAGCATAACGGGAGGCTGTGGCTCAGTGGATAGTGTGCTGGACTTCGAATCAGGGGGTAGCAAGTTCGAGTCCCACTGCAGTCAGTATGTCAGTGTGTCCCTGGGCAAGACACTTCACCCCAAAGTGCTCCTGTGGGGATTGTCCACAGTACTTAATGTCTGTAAGTCGCTTTGGATAAAAGCGTATAACAAATGACATGTTATGTAATGTGATGCATAACAGGTGAGTGTCAAAATAAAACAGGAAGTGGGACACAATACGAAAATGAGCCAAACATGAAAAAAGACTAAACTCAACACTTTTGACGGGACACAACAAAGTTGCTATAGAGAGGCGAAGTCCCTCCCCTTCCGGTGGACCTCCATGGGACCTTATTTAGAAAAGATTATGTATTGAAGTCAATGGAGAGAGAAAGATTATCTTTCGATCCCGTTCGAATTGTGCCACGAATTACACATATGATGTTTGTCAATTTAAAAGATAATCTTGCAAGTCAAAAAAATAAAAATGTGTCGTAAAACTGTGAAGTAACACATTTGTTTGTGTGAAACGCTGAATGAACTACCTCTCTGGTCTCCCACAACAACACACGTCACCAAGATGGCCGTCACTACTGTCTCGTCAACAAAACGATTGACTACCCTCACTATCACCACAATGAAACACGTCCAGAAGGACATGCAAAGCTGCCTGCCTGCCTTCCTTTGATTCTCTCTGAACTGCCTGATCTTTTTAAAGTTTAATGTCAACCATTTGTGCAGATAGCGTGAAGTAGAAAAGATCGGCGATCGCCGATGCTAGCGTTAGCATTTCTCCCCCGGGCTTAAATTGTGTATTTTAGAATGATCACCCCGGTGTGACAGTACTGTTCAAAGAGTTCACGAAATATGACTACTACTCTTACTGTTTAACATGTTGGGTTACTTAATGTTACTTCATGTTAAGGCTAATAAAAATGACAAGGCTGTAATGCTAACTAACGTGCTAGCTACTAGCTAGGTAGCTAACTTGATCCAGTCAGCCACTCCTGGTCCTTTCATCAGACGGGAAGCGAAAGAACGAGCAAGACCCATTGCTGGTATGATAACAACCTGGTACTAAGCACACAGGCATCTTGTTAAAGTTATCTTAGCCAGCGCCTATATGGCGCTGATCTTAGCTATCTCTTATGCGGCTTTCACACCAGCGCTTTTCCCTTTCTAGCTCCGAGCTAGAGCTTTTCTGGTTCAGCTCCGGTTTCCCTTTTCTGCTCCCGCTCTGTTCACACCGCCCAGCACCCGACTGGTGCTGCCGCTGCTGCGTCATGACGTCACCGTTTACATCGCTGATTTGCTCCCCAACGGCGTTACGGCGCTCACAACAACAACAACGGGGAACTGCGTCGGGTCGATGATCGTGTTGCTTTTAATCACACGAAGCCAGAATAAATTGAATAACGACTTCTCCAACCTTATACATTGCTCCAGAGTGCCGTGGTTCATTGTGTATTAATGTGTTTCTGCAGCATTTACCGACCGCTGCAGTGTTGACTGCTCTTCCACGGGAGTGTATTCTCCTCCGTTAGCTCCCGGTTAGCTCACACTGCAGCTCTAAAGTATTCACTGTCCGACTCACACAAGCAGCTGATACATATCCCCAGTTCCCCTTAGCCTAAGTGAATGTGTGTCAGTCTGAATTGACGCTGTTTGGCATCACAACGCTGTTATGAAAGTGTCTCTGGTATAAAATGGGTGATGTTAGCATAGCAACCGAAGCTAAACTGACTACTTGCTAATTGCTATCCTATTGTGGCATAAACCGTTTTCTACAGGTACATTTTACCGGCGTATTTTTATTATGATTCTACTTGTGATAGTCGGACACGAAAACCTGTGCAGCCCATGTATTGATTCCATCCGATAGCTGCTATAATACAAAACAAAACGTCTGCCTCTCTCCACAATGATCAATAACAGTGAACGGATGGTCAAAGTAAGGTACAAATAAACAGAATCACACGAAGCCTGGTTAGTGTTGCCTGACTTTATAAAGTGTGTTTATAAGCACTACTGCTTGTAGGCAGGCATGACAGTCGACCCATGTTCAGGGGAGGTGGGTTTAGTTTCCTGCACTCCTCGACGTAAGAGAGACGTAAGCGACGCCGCCTCTTAGCTCCGAAGCTCTTGCCTCTAGACCGACAATTTTTTGGAGCTGGAAGTGAACCGGATTCCGGAGCTAAGAGCCGGCGCCACTGCGGTGTGAACAGGAAAAACCGGCGCTTTTCAGGCTCCAGCTCCGAGCAGGAGCTGAAAAAGCGCTGGTGTGAAAGGGGCATGAGTGGAAGAAAACAGTTGTGACATCACTTACGCGACTCTGGGATTTGTAGTCTTTCTAGTTGTGTATTTTTCATAGTCTTATATTTCAACAGTTTTACGACAAACTGTGACTTTTTTGATACGGAAATGATTTTTTAAGATTGACAAACATCATATGTGTAATTCGTGGCACAATTCAAACGGGATCGAAAGATAAGTTTTCTCTCTCCATTGACTTCAATACATTATTTTTCCGAAATAAGGTTCCATGGACCGGAAGTAGATGGGCGTGACTTCGCCACTCTATAACTGTTTATGGTTTCTTAATACACAATACTCAACATTGATTATATGTTAAAAGCAGCTGCCCATTCCTATGTCTAGCATTTAACATGTGGTGTGCTGTGCCTAAAGTCAACATCCAGACGGTTGTGGTACTAACGCCAAGCCTCACTATCCAGTAACTGCATAGTGGTTCCACTATAGTCCATCTTTTAGGATTCACACTGTTGGGTATGTTCTCATTTTTAGCATTTGCCCAAAAAAGAGTCACGCTTTTTCCCCATCATTTGTTCCAGGGGCTGAGGGTATTTCTGCCTGACGCACTGTTCTGAAACCATGAGCCAACAAGAAAAGCCAACTGCAGCATTTTGTTTCTGCAAAGCACTGCAGCCAATCATCTCTCTGATGGGGTTCATCCTCACTGGATAGATTGGATCATTAGAGTTACCAAAAGGGTGTATATCCGTTTATAGGACATTTGTTTTAGCCTTCATGCTAACTAAATAGTTGGAGTGATGGCAATGCTTGTCAGTCACTTAGTTCACCAAAGTCCAGAGTGAAATATATCGGCAATATTAAATGGATTGTTGCGACATTGTGTAAAGACATTCATGGTAACGAGAGGATACATTCTCTAAACCTGAATGCCCTGAAATGTCCTGTCGCGCCATCAAGCCGTTAACATTTCTTAACTATTGGTTGGATTACAATGAACTCTGATATAGTTTGAAATACAACTCAAATCATCCTATAACTTTACCCCTTACATGACTAAATAAACTGCACAATAAATGACATTCCCATCCAATTAGGGATTACTTTTGGTTTGGTTATTACTAGCAAGTACTAGCATGCTAACAAGCTAAACTTAGATAATGAACATGGTTTTCATCATACAACACTTTGCTAGCATACTTACGTTAGCATTTAGCTCGAAGAGTTGCTGGAGGACGGGTTAGGGTTAGCATAACTGTAGACTTGTATTATTGTTTCCCCTTTTTGCATTAACTATTACATCTTCAGAACAATACTGGTTGAAATGAACAGTCTTTGTTTGCGAAATATCTTTTTTTCAAGATTATCATTTCATTTAGGCACAAATACAATTCCCACCACATACATCACGTTTTCCCACCTTCCCTCCTTTTTATTCCAAAAAGATTAAAAAGTGTTATGGTCATATGCCCATAAGCTACAGCCTGGATGTGGATCATTCCAATTTACATGATAAATAGTTCATAGCATCACAATAAATAAGTAAATAAATAATCAAGTTAAAAAACCTGTCAAGAATTTAAAAGTTTGAGTGCAGAGGGGATGACTGATTCTGAAAAGCGATTTGTCTTGAGAGCAGGTAGAGCATATCTTCGCCCTGATGGCAACAAATGAACTTAATCTGCAACAACATGACCTGGAGAGGCCAGTATGCTCTCTGCTCTCCGCAGAATCGGCTGGTTGCAGAAGGAGTTTAAGTCTCTCTCATGGCCTGTGGGATAAAGCTGTCCCTGAGTTTGGCGGTTTTACTCCGGTATGTACAAATACAATTCGCACCACATGCATCAAGTTTTTTCCCCACCTTCCCTCCCGTTGCCGTCACTTAGCCAGCATCCCTTTGTCAGAGTTGGATATGTCCTCTGCACTTTTTCATTTCTATTTGTATTCCACACACATGTCTTCTCATTTTGCTGTAACTCCGTCATATACAATGTTGTTGTTTGTTTTTAATCTGTAAAGCCCAACTTTCTTTGTGATATTGGGCTCGACAAATAAAGTTTGATTTGATTTATTTTGATGTATTGCTGTCACTTACCCAGCAGTTGGATATACACATGTCAGGACAAATTACCATTTAAGTAACAAGTGGGTACAAGTGACTTTCCATCGCACCACATGCATCAAGTTTTCCCCACCTTCCCTCCCGTTGCCGTCACTTACCCAGCATCCCTTTGTCAGAGTTGGATATGCACATGTCCTTCTCAGCGCTGGGCAGCACAAAGCCCACCACGAAGCCGTCTACGCCGTCAGCCATCAGCGCCAGACCCAGCACGGCGAACAGCATCCACTGGAATCGCCCGTGGCCACAATCCTCCATCAGGGTTTCGTATTGCTCCGGCAGGTTGTCTTCCTCCTCCTCTTGCTGTGCAGCCTGACGAGCTTTCCTCCTAGCCTCCAACCGAGCCGCCCTCCGAGCCTCCTTGATCTCATCGGGATGGGGAACGCCTTGATACTCGCCCTCGTACATCTGCTCGTCATCGTCCGCGCCCTCGGTGGCGTCGCTTCGAGCGTCTTCTTCCTGAGGAGGGTAGTCCGCCTGGTAAGGGTAGCCATCTTGACCTCCTCCTCCTCCTTCCTGGGTGTAGGTGTATTCTCCACCTCCTGTCCCCTGCTTGGTCACATTGTTGTGATAGGGGTCATCCATGGTTCCTGCTTGGTGTTAGCAAAGCAGGACTGACTTTTCCCGGTAGCCGTGGTACTCTAAGAAAAGCTCAAGTTGTAACCTATAATGGCATAATCCTCCCAAGGAGCCGTAAATTCCTCTCAGTGCTGCTGCAGGTGAGATCTTCTGAGGAGCGTAAGTCTCGACTTTAAGTCCTCAACGGCTGCGTCGAAAGACTTTTACCTTCGTTGATGTGCACAGTGCTGCATGCTGAACCTGAAACACACAGTGCACATCACACATTATCTAAGTAATCACTTGTGGAGCAGAGACATCACCATGCAACGTCTCCTTCGGGACAGAAGTCATAATTACTGTCTCGACGGGATTCACAACAAAGCTTTAGGAGTATGACCTTTGACTCTCTTTGGAAAAATCCTCCAAAAGATAGAGAAAAAATGCACGGGATTTGCCTTAAATATGTTGTGCCATGGTAGATGAGCAAGACATTCTTTATTGCTTTGAATTGAACTTCTGTTCATGTAGCTTTTTGCTGCTTAACTTTACTTCCCTATCAATCCAATCATGATGTTTCTAACTTCTTGTAAAGGACTTGAGGTCATACATAAATGCAGGATTGTATTCAAATCAGAAATTCAAAGGGACATTATACAGGACAAATCAGTGACTCCCAGCATGCCTTGCAGGCTGCGTGTCCTTCCTCACTAGCAGATAATCTCATTGTCTCTACACTCAGATGCCGTGACGCCATTTTGATCCGTCACACAGCGCTGTGCAGCTGTGACACGTTCAGATCCGTCTTTATTTGTGTGGAGACCGGAGGCTCCAACAGGACGACAATAACACACTTTGCATATTAGGAACATCGCTGGCTGCTGCGCTGACATCATTAGATGAGTGCACGCTAATGTCAGTCTTACAAACCAAACATTGTTCAACCTGAGGCTGGATCTTGTGTTTTATACAGATTGCAAAAGGAGACGTATGATATTAAGCTGCATAGATGCTAAACTCTGTGCACACGAGGAATGAGTAACACTGTCTAACTGTAGGGTGCTCAATCTGGAGTGTATTTTTTAAATCACTTGTCAACTACCCTACACTCCCTGCTAAAGGCACCTTGACAGTTAGCTTTGAAGCTAGCCATGCAGCTTTTGATGGATTTTAGGCAATATTAGGCTGCTTATAAACGCCTTTTCATTTGTTCATTTTAAACTTTTGTGTTGCTTTTTCTGATATCTACCTGTTCACGTTTTTTTGTGTTGTTTCTTTTATATCTTAGTTTTTTACAATTGTATTTATTTAATTATTATTATATTTGTATGTCTTGTATATATTGTCAATATACTTATCTTTTTTGTTTTATTCTTGTGTATCTTTGACGCTCTTTTTAAACGTTGTAAGATGTAAAAATCTGTATGAAAGCGTTTTAAACCGAAAAATGCTTATTATGGCAAACACTAAAACTTACAGTAACAATCAGAAATCCTTTATTTGTGCCACAGCTGGGGAATTAACAGTAATTGCACATTAAGGAAGATAAATAAAATCAACTGATCGGTGATGTCAGCAACACAACAATCTCGATCTTAAAGTTAGCTAATAGAAGCTAACATTAGCCTTCATAAGCTGTATTATAATAAAAAAACTGTGATTTATAGACAACAAATTACGTTTCTATCTTACAAGTGTTGTTGTTTCTCTTACTTTTGACACATTTGACTCATAAACACTATTTGTAATACTTTGCCAAACATGTTGCGGACGTATGCTGAAGGACATGATACTATTTGGTTCTGGGTATTGCAATTTAAATCTATTTAAATGTGAACGCAAACTAGTTGCTTTTATGGCACCAAACCGAGGTGTTTTTCCCTCGCAAGCTCAAAAACATGCATAATATTTTAAGTCAAATGAAAGACACAGCAGGGACAACTTCGTCGGATTGAATCCTCATTTAACATATCCAGAGGAGCTCTAAAAGACTTTGCAAATATTAACATGTTATCAGTCATACAGGGTTAATGAGGTAAAAGGTTTTCCATGTCGTTTTTGAATTAATACATCCTTTAATAATCCAATTCCATTTTACGGTTGTTTTTCGGTATTCCCTGTGACATCAACATTACTTTTTCAACCCAGAAACAACCGTATTCGTATCATCTGACAAATGCATGCTGTGTTCGGGCTGCTGTGTCCTGGTTTGGAGCCGCGATGACGAACACAGTAATTTAATCCAGATTAAGAGTGCAGATTTTTTTCATTTTACCCTCACATTATTGTTTCATCATCACGAGTCGCAGAGGTGGCCGACTGAGGATTACTGAGTTTGCATTGATGGCAAAATCCCATATATATGCATTGATTTGTTTTGTTGCCTGGAGAGCAATAAACCCAATCACAGTTTCACAATCATATGAGCATGTTTCCTCCACTAACATGAATAATGCATGCTTGATTCAGGAGAGAAAGTGAGAGGGTTTTCAGAGCTTTTACTCACACAGCTGGCGCTTACATAACACATCCCCCTCTCCCCTCTCCTCTCACTTATTGATCTGTGTTTATAATTCACATGTCAAATCAGCATTTATGTGCAGAGTTTGAAAAGGTCACGATCTGCCTCCTTGTGAGAGTGTTCGCCCGGAGTTTAAAAAGTCAACGAGCTTCCCTTGAATCATGAAAATCAATGGCAGTCTGAGTTTTAACAGGAAGCAGATAGGTCACTCTGTAATTTACAGGAAAGATATCTTCATTTCTCAAGTGACCTTTTGGATCATTTACGAGTGGGAACGAGCCAAACTCTGTCTTCATAGCTTCCTGCGTTTCTGTAGATCGTTCTACCGACACATTGTGCAGTCAAATACGATGACTTTTGAAGTAAAGCTGTATAAACACACGGCAGATTCAACAGTTCAGCTGATCTGGGGTCAGCTTTAGCCTCATTTACATTCACCTGGACTTCGCTCATGCCTTCCCATCAGAGAGAGATTAGGAAGAAGAGTTTATTTATTCACAATCTTCCCCCATATTTGCGGATGTAAGGTGTAATTAACTTTGCAGAACATGTTATTAATTATCTTCCACATTCAAGGTTGTGATTAAATATTTAACCTCAGATTCATCAAGTCACACTTTTTCTCTTAATCTCAATCTGCTTTTATTGAGGTTTTTTCACACTGTACTAAACTTGGAACTGCTCCAAGGGAGTTGATTTGAAGGAAACATATCATAACCTGACAATTCATTTGATTTGTCATTTGTGCATTGGGATTTAATGCACTTTTTGAACAATGCAAACATGTTTCTTTGCTTGAAAATAAGCAAAATTGAACAACTAGAACGTCTAGACTTCTGTTTGTCCTGGTACAAATGATCACAGGGTTAGATGCCACTGAGGTCAGATGAATTACAAACATATCCTGATTCTTTTTGCATGGATCTACTACAAGCTGTCAAAGCAGCGAGTTCACATTAATCTCAGCCGTGACTTTAAAGAGGTCAAAGGACCGTCTTTAATGATTTCTCGGTGACTTCCTGTCCGCTCACCTGCCACATTCATTTATCAGCTGCACATCTATGAGTTAAATATTGTCACCACGTAATTTACAAAGCAAAAGCAGCCTTTCTGGGCCGTATCAAATGTGTAACTTGGTATTTGTAGGCACATGCATAAACGCAAATATGCTAGGTTGAAATAATCCTGATTCCAGAGACTTTAGATTTCTCTTAAAAGCAATTGAAGACAATAAACTGGTTTTAAAGTATTGTTTTCTACATATCTCTACACATCAGCTATAATGAGGAGCAGAGGCTTTGACTGATGTTAAAATGCATAGAAAAACAACATGTTTTTAAATTATAATACCATTGATTCGTTGATTGTAACCGCTCTTTTTTGAAGTATATTTGTTTGCATGTATTGTAATCTTTCTGGATTAATAAGAAGTTAAAAGTTGTTGCAACAGATGCGTAAAAAACAAATGATGGCACTGCAAGTACATCACCAGCCTATTTTTATTCTGACGTCCTCCCCTCAATTTTTAAAACAGCAAATTAAAGAGCAAGCACAGCAAACATTTAAGAAAGAATAAAGTTTTCGGCCTTACCAGAGTTGGCATTCCCTTTGGATAAAAAGGACTTCTGATTTAATCATTTAAATAATTGCTAACGTCCAAGTAGCATTTTTCAAATGTCCATGTCAGTTTATCCTACTAAGGCCGTGTTGCAGCCAACGCTGAGGGATTAGGATCCAACATCACAATCCCCCACAACCTGCCCCCCCCCCCCCCACCAGGGCTCATCCCCACCGGAAACTCCCCGGAAATAACCCCCCCACCTTTGGGACGCATTGGTACAGTCCGTCCAGTGTAAAGAGCAACAGGAAGGATCCACTGATAGGAAGTACAAACTGTGGAGAGAGGCCCAATCCCAATTTCCAAACCAAGGCCTTAATCCAGGGGTGTCCAAACTTTTTTCATGAGGGCCACTTACAGAAAAATATACTAAGCGATTGGCCGCTCACTAGAGATGAAGTATATTGCGTCATAAATTAAAGGTGGGGTAGGTAAGTTTGAGAAACCGGCTCGAGATACACTTGTTATATTCCATGGAATGCTCTTAACATCCCGATAGCAATGAATATCTGAAGTGCTTTGACAAAAAATCCATTATCTTCATCCGTGGAAGCCGTGGCGCTGTAAAAAGCACGACCAATCATCTGAGCCGGCCCGGCTAAAGTAACTGGATGGCCTACCTGCCTGTCAGCCTTCCATCTGGGCACAAACTTATCTCGTGCCCTCATTGGTCATGTGCGCGTTCGTGTGTGTTGGAGGAGGGGCTCTGGCGCACTCGAGCTGGTTTCTCCAAAATTACCTACATCACCTTTAAGTTATAAATTAGCTAAATCAAACACGGGTACGTAAATTATGCTTGATTCTTGAAAATGCTTTAAGAAAACAAACAGCCTACTATCACAGCCCTCCATAAGGTTTCATTTATTTTGTTAGCAGCTCATTCATTAAAACAGAAGCTCAGATTGATTATAATGAGAGGAAATAGGAAGAGTTTATTTCAAGTTTGTTCTGCAAATAAGTTATTGGGCTTTTTTCTCATCAACTAAGATTTGTTAGAAAACGTTTTCAACTTTAATTGACTGAATTTATGTGAAAAGTGGGCTTATTAACACATGAATACTACTGTGTATATATATGTTTACATATATATATTTAAGAAGTACAATATAAGACAAGCACACGTTTAATTTGTGGGCCGTATTACATTATACTTTCTGAATCTGCTGAGGGTCGATTCAAAAATGGCCCACGGGCCGCATTTGGCCCCCGGGCCGTAGTTTGGACACCCCTGCCTTAATCTGTCTGAGTGTGAGAGTCAGCAAGGGCTTGAAAAGGATGTCAATAAAAATTGAATAGCTCTTATGTTACAAATAATAGGCAAAAGTAGCCATTGGTACAGTCCATCTAATGTAAAGGACAAAGGTAGCTAATTGGTCCTTCTAGTGCAAATAATAGGCAAAAGTAACCACTACAAGATTTTTAGAGATAGGCCCAATCCCAATGTCCAAACTAAGGCCTTTAACTGTCTGAGTATGAGGGTCTGCAAGGGCTTGAAAATACCTTGATGACACCAAGACATGTTACGTTAAAGGCAGGGGCGGACTGGCCATCGGTACGTTCGGGACAAATCCCGTTGGGCCGGTACTGAAGTGGGCCGGTCGGACGATATGGGCCGGTCGAGAGTCCCGGGCTGATTTGTAGTCCCAGTCCGCCCCTGGTTAAAGGCCAAGGAACCTAATTGGTGCAAATAATGGTGCAAATATTAGGCAACAGTAACCATTGGTACAGTCCATCCAGTGCAAAGAGCAACAGGCTTTAGGAACTACAAACTGTGGAGACTCACTTTAGAGATAGGCCCAATCCCAATGTCCAAAATAAGGCTTTTCTCTGAACAAAAGCACATATAGGAATGTGATATCTCTTATCATGTCTTCATGACACCAAGACATGTTACGTTAAAGGCAGGGGCGGACTGGCCATCGGTACGTTCGGGACGAATCCCGTTGGGCCGGTACTGAAGTGGACCGGTCGGACGATATGGGCCGGTCGAGAGTCCCGGGCTGATTTGTAGTCCCAGTCCGCCCCTGGTTAAAGGCCAAGGAACCTAATTGGTGCAAATAATGGTGCAAATATTAGGCAACAGTAACCATTGGTACAGTCCATCCAGTGCAAAGAGCAACAGGCTATAGGAACTACAAACTGTGGAGACTCACTTTAGAGATAGGCCCAATCCCAATGTCCAAACTAAGGCCTCACTCTGTCCGAGTTTGAGGCTTAAAGTGTGCATAGGCTTACAACTGTAAATAAAAATGGGGTATCTCTTATCATGTGGCCTCGGTGACACCAAGACATGCTACGTTAAAGGCCAAGGAACCTGATTGGTCCTGCAAATAATAGGCAAAAAGAAAAAAAGAACATTAAATGAAGAGGGAAGCACGCATTCATGGAAATAAAAAACATAGGTACATATCCATGGGAAGATAGCAGCAAAGAGAGAGCTGATGAAAACATGTGGGTTGTAATATAGTGATATGATTTGATGTGTTTAATGTACTGGTGTATGTGGGTCCTTGTAAATGTGTTTATCTGTAAATCTAGGCTTACCAGAGCAACAAATATGTACCAGTCTTACTTGGCTTTTCATGGTAACTCTGAGTTTGACCTTAGTGTATATCAGAAGTGGATGTTATCACCATGACGTCACTCATTGGTTTATGGACTACAGTTTTTAACCCTTAAGTTTTGACGTTTGGCCGTCGCCATCTTTGTTTGTGCAACTAGAGGTTACTTGGCAGGATGGAGCAAAGTAAAACCAAAACGATGAAAAAGGGCATTTTTGGGCAACCGAAAATGTTCCAATGAAAACGCACGAATAGTTAAAGGGTTAAAGTTCAAATACGTGGACAACAACAACAAAGACATATTTACTAAGGTAATAAATCAAGTTTAAAGTCGAGTGATTGTCTCATACACTTCTATACAGTTTGACTTGCAACCAGACGAGTCGTCACCTGCTGAATATGGATGATTTCAAGGCACTAATGCTTTGGTTTGACGTTTACAAACATGGAATTGTCGCCTGTTTTTTATGTCATAGCGCTATGAACTGTGGGTTGTTCTCTTAAGCAGGGTCTGCAGAAATACAAATGTACAGAAAAGATCGTAAAGGGCAAAACATTTCAGCAAGAGTCTCATGTGGACCGACCAGAAATTAGGAGGAAAGTCTGAGAGTCCTTGAATGTGGACAATATAATTTATCAATGTTTATTATAAGACTTGAATCTGATCTGCACTTGCTTCCAATACCTCATTCACACCAACGCAACACCGGTTCAAGCTCCGTGCTAGAGCTTTTCAGGTTCAGAACCAGTTCTTCGGTTTAGCTCTGGCTCTTTTCACACCGCCCAGAGTCCGACTGGTAATCTGCTGGTAATGCGTCGTTGCGTCATCGTTTGCGTCATGACGTAACCGTTTGCGTGCCTGCTTCATAAAGCCAAACCGCGCGGATGAAATCAGTTGCATTCATTTCTTATGGCTCTATCTGCAGCTTTTCCGGAGTCATTTCTGTGGTTTAGTTATATTCTTATAAAAAAGTGTACTCGTGTCAATAAAGTTTTTTTTAAAACACAACTGTTTCCGAGGTCGGTCTTATTTCTTAAGGTGGACTGAACCATGAGTGTGGAGTAACGTTGTATCTTTCATTTAAATGAACTGTAACCTTCACCCAGGTATGTAACAGCTGTTCTCAAATGAACACGTGAAGTAAAGTTTAATATTTATAGTTTTATAGATTTATAATGAGTTATAATGAGAGGTGATCAACGTGAATGCTCAGGTTCCACCTTAACACGCAGACACGTTGCTTCACCATGAGCAGAAACCTTTATATATACAGTCTATGGCAGAAACACTGAAACTCCTGTTAAGTTTCTCCATCGTTGTGTACAAACTGGATAAAACGCGGGCTTTTTGTTGTTATTCAGGAGTTGATCTGTCTCTGCCCTCGCCTCGATGTAAGCGTGACGTATGCGGTGCTTTTGCTCTGGCCGGACAATTTGTTGGTGCTTGAAACGAACCGGATTCCGGAGCTAAGAGGCTGCTCCGCTGCGGTGTGAAGAGGAAAACTCGGTGCTTTTCAAGCTCCAGCTCCGAACCGGCCCTGAAACACCGTTGGTGTGAATGAGGTACAAGAGACCTCCAGGAGTGTGCACACTTAAGTTTCTACCACACTTTATATGCACACAATGGTTGTCTACAGTCACAGCAGCCAGGATGAGCCTTTCTGTCCTTTAAGTATAGAGCTCACCCCCACTATGGCTCTATGTTGTGCTGAAGTGTCCTTGAGTGAGACACCGACTCTCAGCAGCCGCTCATCCATCCTCAGACTCCAAATAAGCATATCAGCAGAAAAGAAACCAGCTGAAATATTACTCTTCCCTTGAAGAAGGAAGGACGGCCCGGTGGTTATTGTTTTGTTGGGTGAGTGCAGAGGGGATAATGGATGAGTCTGTGTGGAGATGGATAATCTCAGCTCTCCGGCAACACTCATCATTCCTGTGGTTTACATACAGGAATATAGAGAGGTGGGAAGTAGTGGAGTACAAATACTTTGTTATTGTACTTAAGTACATTTCTCTGGTATCAGTACTTTACTCCACTACTTATTTTTCGGAAAACTTTTTATTTTGACTTCTTACATGTTGAACACAAATACCTGTACTTTCTACTTCTTACATGTTGAACTCAAATACCTGTACTTTCTACTTCTCACATGTTGAACACAAATACCTGTACTTTCTACTTCTTACATGTTGAACACAAATACCTGTACTTTCTACTTCTTACATGTTGAACACAAATACCTGTACTTTCTACTTCTCACATGTTGAACACAAATACCTGTACTTTCTACTTCTTACATGTTGAACACAAATACCTGTACTTTCTACTTCTTACATGTTAAACACAAATACCTGTACTTTCTACTTCTTACATGTTGAACACAAATACCTGTACTTTCTACTTCTCACATGTTGAACCCAAATACCTGTACTTTCTACTTCTTACATGTTGAACACAAATACCTGTAGTATTTTTAAACACGAGTATCTGTACTTCTACTTGAGGAAAGGATGTGTACTTTTGCCCTCTCTGACGGAG